TTCGAACCATCCTGAACAATCACGGGATTAATTCATATTAGATAAACTTTAAGTAACCAAGCAATTCTAACAGTATGCCACACCTAAAATTGTAGACAACAGAGGAATTCATAATGAAGTTTTACACGTATTATAATATATATGTTAGTATGCGCAGTTAGAGATGTCCATCTAACCTGCGAGGTCCACTCGCCCAAATGGGGTAAGGATTTACCATTTAAACGGAGAATAGGGAGCATTTTCCACCCGTTAGATAAACGGGACTAGGGACAAGATTATATTCTCTGTCCTGCCCCACTTAATATAAATGTATTTTCAACATAATGCAATCTACCAAAATAGAAAAACCGACTAGACCCGCATATATTAAAAAATATTTTATATATACATAAAATAAGTAGGGTTCTACTTTTTGGCTCTACAAACAACAGAGGCGTGCGTGTGCAACCTTAGTACCTTACCTTCACTCCTATCTCCCACATCTACAGTGGTGTCCCCTTGCTTTTATCCCGTAGCAACGGGCGACCCACATTCAGTCGTTTTCTCTTCAGCGACCCACACAGGTGATAACACACATCCGTAGTGACTGAATGTGTTGGTCTAAACTTATGCTTGTCTGAGTGTTTACATGTTTGAGGATTTTTCTGTGTTGATTTTTGAGAAGTGACATACAGATTGTTTTCCCTGTTCGATTTTTCAGTCAGGTTGAAGCAGTTCCAGCTCTAGTTGCTGTGAAAATAGAGGAGCCCATAAGTAAGAGCAATTATTATGGTGTTTTCTGCCTCACCTATGATTTAAAAGCTGTAAGTTCTTCAAGTCTCATGTGAGTTTTCTCTGGTTTATTGAAAATTATAATTCAACAGTGTTTTGGGGGTTGATTTTAGCCTAACTCATAAGATCAATGTCGCCATATCCTGCCTTTTTTCTATTCTTTTGGTTTAATTTCATGTTTAGATTGTTTCCTATAATCTCTCATTACCTACCATCTTTTGCTCTTTTAATGTATTTATTGGGATTACGTGAGATTTTCCTCACATGCTTGATTCTTACTTGCATAAAAATGGAACTATTTATCAATCTTTTCCTCAAGAGGAAGTTTATGAGGAGTAACCAGTTGAATTTGTTGCTTATGGGGAGAGTGATAAAGTTCGTCACCTTAGAGAATCGTTCTTATGGATTCTCACACGCAAGATTTGTTAAATTAGCTAAGCACTTGAGCAGTTTTGAATGAAAGAAAAGTTCAACGGATCATTTTGTCTTCTATCAGCAATTTGATAGTGGTACGACCACTGAAGTATTTATGAGGCATCAAAGTGATGAGAAGCAAAAAAGCTATCTTTTTTCACAACGAAATATGTACTTGATTGTAATCTATGCCAAAGAAAAATGGGAGTTAAATCAAGTTGTACCCCAATGATACTAATTTGCAACTCATTAAAGAAGGAGAATCATTTTTAAAATTCTGAGATATACAGAAGATTGGTTGGGAAGTTGAATTATCGAATAGTGACACGTCCAAATATCGGTTACCTAATAAGTATTGTAAGTCAATATATATATTCACCTATAGTGGATCATGGGCTGCAGTGGAACAAATTCTATGTTACCTACAAGTTGGACCTAGCATGAAATCTTATATAAAGATCGTGGTCATACCAAAGTTGAATGTTTCTCAAATGTTGATTAGGTAGGATCTAGAGAAGATAAAAGATCAACTCTCTAGCAAGCTTAATTTGATTAACGAAACCGAATAAAACATTTTGGTCAGATCATTTTAGCAACCCTGACTTCCAGGATAAGTAGGCCAAAGCAAACAATAATTACACTTGCAACAAAAACAGACAAAAGAAGACAAAGTTATCATGACATTGATCATCAATGCACAACTGGATTTTAACCCACACTTGAGTAACAGATGCACAGTGTGAAAACTATTAGTATCTAATTACTTCTTATGGAGGATCAAAGTAATGGGCAAGGTTAACTCCAAAATGAAAATATTTAGATGTAAAATCCTTCAAGAACTAATAGAACCATTTAAAGTACCTTTTCATCCTTTGGTTCTGGGAGAGCAACCTGCTCTAAACTCTGCTGCAGTTCAAAGCGATTTTGAGCATTCTTGAACATATATCCAGTCATCATTACACTGTACATGAGTTGTGCAAGATTTTCAGCAACCTGAACCAAATATTAAAAATCAAACATGGTTCTAAAATAAATAAATATTTAAAAACTAAGCCTGTTCTTACCAAATATCAATTGTACTACAAGTATTTGGGTGATCTTGACTGTAAGAATAACATAAGGGTTATATACGAACCGTGGTGACAGTCACTGCAAAAAACTGTGGAGGTAGAGTTCCAATCATATTTGTGACTGTTTGGCGCATTGCATCAACAACCTAAAAAGGAACCGAAGATGTATTAATTTATCAGAGAAAGTCAGGGAATACAAAATAAAAGTTAGCTGAATACTATATCAAGTAAATAAAAGCCCACTTGTTGAGGTGCCCTCTGAACAAACAACTCCATGAATTCTGGCTGGACATTTTTAACATATTCCAGAAGAATGTCTCTCCGGGATTTTGGCTGCCAATTCCATAAAATATATTCAGAGAATTATAGATGGTCAAATCTAGAACAACATAAAGAGAACTGAATTGATATAATTGTAATAGCCCAAGCCCACCGCTAGCAGATATTGTATGCTTTAGTCCATTATGTATAGTCGTCAGCCTCACGGTTTTAAAACACGTCTACTAGGGAGAGGCTTCTACACCTTTATAAGGAATGCTTTGTTCCTCTCTCCAACCAATGTGGGATCTCACAATCCACCCCCTTGGGTGCCAGCATCCTCACTGGCACACCACCCAAGGACTAGCTCTAATACAATTTGTAACAGCTCAACCCCATCGCTAGCAAATATTGTCCGCTTTGGCCCGTAACGTATAGTCATCAACTTCCCGGTTTTAAAATGCATCTACTAGGGAGATGTTCCCACACCTTTATAAGGAATGTTTCATTCCCTTCTCTAACCAATATGCGGTCTCACAATAACAGCCATCAAGTTCATCATGATGACGAAAAAGAAAACCATCTAAGTTGATTAATAGTAAAAGTAACATCATTTTCAACAATTTGCAGAGAGTACCGTTTAATGGCAAGTAGCAAGTTAAAACCTCTACAGGGACGTGAATGTACAACCCATTACAGACAGAAGATAGCATTCATAATTTCGTCATTTGACAGTGAAATGATAATAAAAATGAAATCCATAATATGAAAAACTTTTGATAGCTATGAATAAAGTGTCCGGCCAGGTTGTGTACCCGCAGCTAATTAATGCTCATGGGACAACTTCAAAGCGTAGGCTTCTCTCAATTATGTGTTAAATTCAAGGACTATCACCAAACCAAATTCAATATGAAAAATCTTCACTCATACTATTCCACTAAATATAAAGAGAACACAGTAAACCCAAATCCACGCTACTGGAATGCTTCAAACTTCCCCAAGTTTGCGTTGACAATTTGAGAACAATCCAAATTGAGTTTAAAAACCATACGGTAGAAGATAAAGCACAGAAGGTGAGGCGAGAGAGAGGAGGGGCAGAGAGGAATACCGAAGTACCGTTGGGAGGGTTGGAATCGGCAGAGGAGGCATCGGGTGTGTCGCCCTTGGAAGAATCGTAGGCGCGGAGTGTGAAGGCGAAACCATTTCTGGGCTTCTTTGGGAGGCTAATCGAAGAGAAACGAAGAGAAGTAAAGGGAAAAGAAGAAGATGAAGGCGAAGGCGAAGATAACTTAGAGGTGAGAAAGAAGGGTTTTAGAGTGAAGGAAGACATGGTTTAGCTCCGTAGCTGTAAACAGAGTGATTAAAGATTGAGGCTATTGAGGGCTTGAGTTCTGAAAGCCTAAAATGGTGAAGATTATCGCCATTAGAGACCCTGCAAGAGGAGCTTTTCTGGTGGGCAGGGGCCGGGAAATGCAGCACCAGCGTTAATGATGAGTCCTTCACCACCGGCACTTCTCAGCCTCCTATTTCAGTTCATCTCTAAAATTGCTCATTTAATTTTTTTTTTTTGGGATTCTCTCTAAGTTAATATGTCTATGAGGTGGTGTAAGTGTCACGTTCATGTTTGTTTAAGGCGTGTTGCCTGTGACCGCATATCGGATGTCTCGGTCATACTTGTCTATGATTGTGTTGCCTGTGACCGCACATCGGATGTCTCGGTCATGCTTGTCTATGACTGGCACATCGGATGTCTCAATGACTGAACATCGGATGTCTCGGTCATGTTTGTCTATGACTGTGTTGTCTGTGACCGCACATCGGATGTCTTGGTCATGCTTGTCTATGACTGTGTTGCCTGCGACCGCATATCGAATGTCTCGGTCATGCTTGTCTATGACGTGTTGTCTATGACTGCATGCATGTTTGATAGACATTTTGCTATCATTGTTATGTCCATATGAGGATGTATGACTAGTTGTCTATACCGTCAAGGCTAAAATGTTTCAAAATGTACTATAATGGGATCTGACTAGTTGTCAATTCTTTTACTCGGGTTATATGATATCAAAGTCGTTGTTGCTTACTCACTTTTAGCTCATTACATTGCTTCCTTTAAAACTATTTTCAATATATTTCTTCGCTTTCGTGTATGTCTGCGAAGTACAAATTTCACACGGCTGACTTGTTCACTAGGTTAGAACAAGTGCCGCACAATCGTTGTCCCACAGCTACAATAGTGCAAGTGTGATATAAGGCTCGAAACCTTCCACCTTGACAGGGCAGTGCTCTGACCAATTAAGCTACGATCCCAATTTTATTAATATTTCAATTGCTATCCAAATTTTATAATATCACTCGAAGGAATTTTAGTCATCAAATCAACTCAGACCATATACAAGGCTGCATCCTCCAAATTAACTAGCAATAGGTGCATTTTGGAGTCAAAGCTAGCAGTGGGAGTGAGTGAACCAAAATAGTTCAGGAATGTCGTGAACATGAAACTCGAGAAATTGATAACGTTAAAGAATGAATAAACATAATTCTTCACGATTACCAACCGAAATCACATATTTCCAATCTAAATGAATTCCTAAGCGACTAAAGAGACCAAGAGACTAGAAATCACCAAATCTTCATTGTGGAGGAGGCAGTTCTTGGGGTGGTTCCTCAGTCGGAGCAGGAGGGGACGATCCAAAGTCGAGATTCGGGTAGACACCAGGTGGCCTCTCTCGAGCTTGTATCGACAGCAACTGACTCGAGTCGCCAACTACATCCGCCCATCCGTAGTGAGGCTCGGCCCTTCAATGAAAGAGCAAGTTTGTTAAAATGCCATTGATTCTCACGTTTGTAGATAAGTTGCAGCTAGCCCAGAGAAAACTTACTCATAGTATGTCTCTTCATCCACAACAATATCCCAACTTTCCCCTGTCGTGCTCTTCCCATATTTGTGCACTTTACTGCGTACACAATGATGATATTATCAGCTACCAATATAGTACTAGCTAAGTTTCTCAGTGTGCCTGAAATGGCATGTTATTTACAATACTCATTATGGCATTATAGCTTGAACCTTACCCATTCCCGAAGTGTTCTTCACCCCATGTTCTTGACCAACCTTGTACATGTGACGGGAAGCCAGTTAGTTCCACTTCTCTCATAACCAACAAAAAATACAAACCACAACGCAAGATTTAGCACAAATATTTGCGAACTGAAAAGACCAATGTGCTTGGCAGTCCCACATGGCACAGGCCTAATCGAGGAAATCGTGAAAAAACTAATCACAGATATGACTTATCTACCACAAATTCAATGGAACCAATTGAATATGATGCTAGATTAGACTTACGTTCGCTACTAGGAGATACGTGCCATGTCTCCCCTTGTCGAGAACCGATTCCAGAGAAGAACTTCTCTTCCCACTTGTCTCCCCATTTGGTGCCTAGTTCAGTTTCAGCCCATTTATCCGTCCTGAGAAGTAAAAGCACAGAAAGAGATCTCAGTAAGCATCATAGAACTATTTGAGTAAAGCTTTTGCCATTCAAATTTTGAAACAATGATTAGAGAAAACCATTTAAGAACGGATCCTCTTCCGTCGTAATGCTCTCCCCACTTTTCCCACCATGATTGTTCATTCAATCTACCATATTTATGTGCTCCTTTTTCGGTCCAACCTTTGGCGTCGTATTTCTCCCACCTGCATCACTTAAAAAAGTTACAACTTTTTTTGTACTTGTAATAGCCCTGTCCGATATTGTCCTCATTAGGTTTTCCCTTCTTGACTTCCCCTCAAGGTTTTAAAACACGTTTACTAGAGAGAGATTTCCAAATCCTCATAAAGAACGTTTTGTTCTCCTCTCCAATCAATGTGGGACCTTACAATCCATCCCCCTTGGGGGCCCAGCGTCCTCGCTGGCACACCGTTTGGTGTCTGGCTCTGATACCAACTGTAACAGCCTAAACTTGCCACTAGCAGATATTATCCTCTTTGAGCTTTCCCTTCTGGGCTTCCCCTCAAGGTTTTAAAATACGTTTACTAGGGAGAGGTTTCCACACCGTTATAAAGAATCTTTTGTTCTCCTCTCCAACCGATGTGGGACCTTACAATACTACATATCTAATTTTCCTAACTTCATTTGTATTGAATATGATCTCACCATTTCTCATGCCATCCAGCATTTTCAGTGCCAGATTTTGCTCGTTTCTGTGCACTCCTCTCAATCCTTGCAAGATTACTGTACCAGCAGAATTACAGAGAAAATTTACTTTACTTGGTAAGAAGTGGTCTCCTCAACTTCATTGAGCAAGTGTATAATAATAGTAGAAAAACCTCCATTCGTCTTGATGAAGAACTTCTTGCCATGTTTCCCACCACGAATCACCTTCAACGTTTTTGCCCGATTTTTCCACTCCTATCGAGGGACGTAAAATTCAGTCAGGACAAGCAAGACAGAATTTAGTGAATATAAGCAAGAGTAGGTGCTAAAAGAAGAAACTCGAATGCATAATGATCAAAAAGCAGGGTCAAAAGCATTCTGTGATTCTAGAATCAATATCAAACACAGATGATGAATAATTATCAAAGTTTCACATGTTTAACTTCGAAGCTACGTTAACCAGCAGTTCTCGGCAGTCGAGTAAATATCTATTGTGTATAGTGATCTTATAGCTAGGGAGCTTACAGAATCTAGCTCTTTGGAGAAAGCAAAAGAGAGTGTGGGGAAGGAAAGTTAATTTATGAGAAAAGAAGCAAAGTACCTAGCTCTTTGTATCCAGTCCAGTCACTTTTCTCCCACCACTGTCAATGAGATCAATAAATCCATTAAATGCAGTGACCTGGGATGATACTTCAATGAGTTACAAAATCAATGTCAAAGTGGCAGCAGTGCAAGAACATGTAATGATGCTTCATTTTTAGCATGAGTTCTGTATTAAATAAATGTCATTCAGAAGTTAACCAACCAGAAAATGGAAGAATTTTTCCAACTGGCTCAGTTGTAACTATTGTTATATTTAAAAAATAAAAATCCACGTGGAGACTTATCTGTAATTAAAAGAAATGACCAATGCCCCAAGCTAAATTGATTGAGAGACATTGAACAGTTGATCACAAAATTTTACTCAGTTAACTACGTCTCTATGAGAAATAGTGTAACAACAATAAGAACTAATGTGAGATTCCACATTGGTTGGGGAGGAGAATGAAGCATTTTTTATAAGAGTGTGGAAACCTCTCTCTAGCATACGCATTTTAAAAATCTTGAGAGGAAGCCCAAAGAGGACAATATCTGCTGGTGGTGGGCTAGGGCCGTTACAAATGGTATTAGAGTCAGACACTGGGCGATGTGCCAGCGAGGAGGCTAAGCCCCGAAGGGGGGTGGGCACAAGGCAGTGTGTGCCAGCAAGGACGCTGAGTCCCGAAAAGGGTGGATTGGGGGGTTCCACATTGATTGGAGAAGGGAACAAGTGTCAGTGAGGACGCTAGACTCTGAAAGGGGAGGGGGGTGGATTGTGAGATCTCACATCAGTTGGGGAGGAGAACTGAACTTTATAAGGGTGTGGAAACCTCTCCCTGGCAAACACGTTTTTAAAACCTTGAGGGGAAGCCCCAAAGAAAAAATCCAAAAATCTGTGATCTTGGCACCAACAAATCTGTAGAGGTTCTGAAGGCTACACCATACTGGAGGACCTCAAGAGGATTTGCCATCCATCATTACTGAAAACCAACTAGGCTTTGTGGAAGGTCACCATATCTTAATGTGTGTTTTATTGCAAATGAACTCATCAGTGAATGGAAGACATTGAAGAGGAAAGAGGTTATTATAAAGCTCAACATACACAAAGCGTTTGACAAAGCAGACTAGGATTTTCTCGAGCTTCTCCTTCAAGCCAAAGGTTTTGGTTCTAGATGGAGGTGCTAGATTAGAGGTTGTATATCTTCCACCAATTACTCTATCATCATTAATAAGTGTCCTTCTGGAAAAATTTTGGCGTTGAGGGGGCCTTAGGCAAGGCGACCCTCTCTCACCCTTTCTTTTCATCATTATTCTAGACTGTTTTAGCCGTCTTATGAATCTAAACATTGTTCTATAAAGGGGTTTTTGGTGGGGGCAGGAAGAGCTTAGTATCCATCAATTACATACATCAATGAAGTTGTAATTTCTCTATCAATGAAATTGTATCTTATCCAGAAAAGAAAAGAAAACAATGGATTGTCAGAGTTATCCTAGTAAGAAAGTTAATCAGATTGCTTAAGTTTGCTTCATTCTAGATCAACAACAAAGTCAATTACAAGACAAAAATACTAAATTAATACCGTTTCTTTCCATTCTGAGTAACCATCATGAGATTGACCGCCCATCCTAGTCCACCTACATCGGTATCCATTATCTCCAAGGTCCTCCCCACTTTCCCTATACCAAGTACTGCCATCTTCATTTGTGCCCGACTCGTTAACATTTTCATTCAACAAGTTGATTCCCCAGTCCTTCTCATTTGCAATGCCAGTGTCTACAGCAGAGGAAGATATGTCTTATCAGTTGTGACTAATACTCGGTAAAGGCCATTCTAGAATTTCATATTATGATACACAAATGCGCTTCTAGACTACCTGGGCTAGCTATGAAATTCCCATAAAGCAATTTAGATTACCTCTTTTTGGCGGAGAATCACGTGATTGTGGACCAGAGCCCCTTGGGGTGCAGCGAGGGAGTATTTCTGGCTTGGAAATAAACCGAGATCTGCAGAAACAAGAAGATGAAGCAACCCCATGAGAGGATAACAGCCATCTACAACTTGTGCAAATATTGAGCATTAACTTGAACAACTATAACAATGTTTCCCAATCATGCCTAGTTAGAAGAACTAATAAGTAAGAACTCAATTCCAGTAAAATGAGTTCAAATTTCGAACTATCAGATGAACTGTTTCATCCAGAATAATCCAATTGCAACGCACAGAAAAGGGTTGAAGAAAGCAACACGAAGCATTAATTATTTCCAGTATAGAACTTCAACTTACTGAGGGGAAGCAAAGGGCATTGCAGGAGTGGCTTGGATACAGAGTTTACGAGGTGCTTTTTTGGCATCGAAACGCCAATCTTCTTGCTTCTCTACGCTCTTCCCAGACCCAGTAATTCTACGTATCGGAACCATAGAATCAGAACAGCAGCAACGAATAGGACTAAACCCAACTCGACTAATCCCAAACAGAATCCTCCCCCATGTCCTCCTTCTCAGCTCGGCCCCCCCATGGCCACGCAACAGAACCGACTCGACCCGCCTATCGAAATAGAAATGGGTCGGAAATCCTCTGCAGCAGGCGGCCATTGCTTACAGAAATCCCATGGGAAAGCAGCGAAATGAAGAAAACAAAATGTGGGTATTGTGGATTGGAGGCAAAAAGTAAGAAACAGTCTCGAAATCTCAATTTGGAGCGGTAGGTAAGTTGTTAAGAATTGGGAATGCGAAGGAATAGGGGAAAATGATCATGGAAGATCAAAGAAGAGAGAAGTTCCAAAGAATCTGATGTGAAGAGGCATTTGAAAATGGAGAGAGAGAAATTGCGTGGGCTGAAGCAGAAGGGCGGGCAGACTTATCAGATCGGTGGTGGTTCGGCGAAGGGAAGGAAATTCGGAGATTTATTCAAACACGTGAGCAGGGGAGAAGGGGTCCCACAAGTGCGGATTTTGTACAGTGGACATTCCACGTGGCACCGTCTGAGCCGTCACTTCTCTTTTTCTCAGATCGTGAAATATTTCTTTATATTTTTTTCTCCAATTTAAAAACATGTTTTAAAGTTATTAAATAATTGTTTTATAAAATAATTATTCTAATAATTGTACTAAAATAGATGACTCATTTATAAAGTAATAGTTACTAATTTATAAGAAAACTATTATTATATCATAAAATGCACTTTATTGTATTTCAAACTATACTTGTTATATAAATTTATATTTAGTTATTCAAATTATGTGATATAAAATATTGCTCTTAAAAAAAATATTCTATATTTATTTTATTTAATTAAAGAATGTGTTGTCGTAAATGTTGGCATTAATATTATTATTAGTATTACAATAATTATTATTAAAAAAAAAAAAAAGTTTGTTCATAGGTGGATGGGAATGGGACCCATGTTGGAAAGGAAAAGCTCTGAATTTCCCAAATTTCCTCAAATCTTATCCACTTTTTTTTACCTCTTTCCCTGCTTTGCACCTGGTTTCGACACGTGTCGCAAGCTCAATCTAGGGTGACATGGCAAGATTCTGATTGGCAAAGGCAACTAACTCATTATTTGTGGATAAAATGGAAAATGATATCCAACGTGGCAAAAGGACACTTGTTCAAGTCAAACAAACACCCACCATAGAATAACTTGGTCTTAATAAGACTTGTGCTACTGAACGAGGAAACCAGAGGTTTCACAGGGGTAGCCCTGACATGGCATTCCTGTTGTTTTTTCATTCAAGTACATTAGGATAAGCATCAAAACTTCAATCATATTCATCCACAACTCACACGAGACAGTAATCATAAGAGAAAATCATTGTTAGATTCCTTTTTCCTTCAAAAGTTCTCTGAAATTTCACATCGATTAGAGATGAGAATGAAATTATTTTTATAAAGGTATAAAAACCTCCCCCTATCAGACACGTTTTAGAAACTTTGAGGGGAAGCCCGAAAGGAAAAAAATCATAGAGGACAATATCTACTAGCGGTGGGTTTGAGCCGTAACAAATAGTATCAGACTAGACACTAGGCAATGTGCCAACGAAGCGGCTAAAGTCCCAAAGGGGGTGGTGGATTGTGAGATCTCACATCGATCAGAGAGGAGAAGAAAACATTCTTGAAGGAAAGACCTAAAAGAGAGGAGAAGAAAACATTCTTGAAGGAAAGACCTAAAAGAGAAAGGCTATGGGCATGGGCCGTTACATTGACAATACAACAGACATACGGGGGATAAGATGGCTGGTTGTTGCTGTTCTTGTTTCCCGGTTGCGCCCATGTCCCAAGTACCAAACAGCATAGGCATCCAAACCAAGAGGAAATCAAAATCTATAATATTATTTTCTTTCAAGATGTATGCACTAGTTGAGTAAGTTCAACGCAACAAATGGTAGAAGAAAGGTACTTGGCTTGTTCATAACAGCTATGGCATCTTCAGAACAATAAAATTACTCCTTGGGTAGTAGAATTTCTCCGTTACTGTGGTCATGCTTGTCCAGCGATCTCGTAAATAACGTCATAAAGACGAGTGAAGTTTTGTTTGAACTAAATTCAGTAACAATGGTCACTCCTGCTGTGGAACAGATGTAAGCTTTGAGGGGAGGGTTAACGCAAGTCCAGTAGCCCACCGAGGAAGCAATCAATATTGGGAAAGAAAATCCAAGATGAAATCCATTATCTCGAGAGAAAAGGCTTCACTGATTCTACAACGACCTGTTCACAAGAAAAAAAAAAAAAAAAAAAAAAAAAA